TAGAGAAAGTCTGGATTAAGGATCAAAGAGTAGAAGGTTCTTTCACGCATTTTCAATCCCTCCCTCTATGCTGATTCCTTCCCCTGAACCTACAGCTATGTTCATGTCTCCCTGCCCCCTTTCTTTGTGTCTGGACTTCTTAGCCACTCCGCTTGGCCATATCACCCCATCCAGAAAAGAATTACTTTCTCTTTCTCTCTCTGGAGGCAGTAGGGGTTAGATCACTTGCCTAGGATCAATCAGCTAAGTAAGTGTCTGAGGTCACATTTGAATTTAGGTCCTCCTGACTTCAGGGCCACGTGCCACCTAGCTGCCCCACCCTGCTGTCTCTTAAAGCAGTCCTCCTAATTCTCTAATTCTTTCTTCTTCCTGGCCAAGCAACTAGAAAGAATAGCTTAGATTAGGTCTGTATCTGCTCCTTAGGCTTCTGTGAGCTGACTGACCCCATCAGCCCAATGCAGCTGCTTTCTCATTCTCATTCTCACAAATGACCTTGTGACTAATTCCCGTGACCAGTTCTTACAATTTTCATTCACCTGGACCTCTCTGTGCCATCAAATTGTGTGGACTAATTCCTCATTCTCCTGATGTGCACCTTTAACACATGTAGCTCATCGATCCAGTTAGGCTTTCTTATAGTATATGGTGTGAGAAGCCTCTCCAATTCCATTTGTTGCCAGGCTGCCATCCAATTTTCCCATCAGTTTTTAACAAATAATGATTTCTTTCCCCATGGTTTTGTGATGCTGGACTGATCAGATACTTGTCTATGCCTTTATTGTCAATTCTGGTTTACGGTCTGTACCATAAATCTACTTCTTAAAAAACAAAACAAAACAAAATAAAACTAATACCAGATAATTTTTGATAACCTTTCAATATAATTTGAGATTGTGTAAGACAAGTTACCCCACTTCCTTTCCCCCACAATTCCCCTGGGTATTGTTCACTTTCATAAATATTTAAAATGACTTTACTAGACCACTGGACTTTTTTTTTATTAGTATTGCATTTAATCTTTGAATTAATTTGCACCTCACTGCCATCTTTGCTATAGTGCTTTGACCTAGCTACGAACATTGGATAGGTCTCTAATTATTTATTACTTCCTTTATTTCTGTTTAATTGGTTTTATACTTAAGTATTATGTGTCTTAGTATGTTAATTACCAAGTATTTGAATAGATTTTGTCATCAATTCAATTAAATTCAACAAGGATCTCTTAAGCACTTGCTCTGTGTGTAACATATGTGATCTTTTTCTTTCTATCCTCTCCAACTGGTTTCTGTTAGTGATTTATAGAAAAGCTGGTGATTTTTTGTGGGTTTATCTTCTGTCTCACTTTGTTGCTACAGTCATTTATTATATTGATTCATTTTTCTCATGCAGCCTCGTGGGCTGTCTAAATATACCGTAATGCCACTTATAGACAAAAATGCTTTAGCCTTCTTTTTGGTTAAGCAGATTCCTTTAATTTCTCTTTCTTGGCTTACTGATATAGCTAGCATTTCTGAAATTGTGTATCACAGCAGTGCTATAACTAGAAATTCTTGGGCTGTGGGCAAAATCAGTTGAGTGTTGTATATGTGAATGTATGTGTACACACATGTGTAAGTGTTAACTTACAAACCAAACACCACCAAATCTACTCTTAAGAAGAGAATATGAAGAATTAATGTGAATTTAAACAGTTTAATTCCCCAATTAAAACCTGGAGAAAGCTGTTGGGGTCAACAGCTTCCCCATCCCACCTCTTACTGTGAGTCCCAATTTTCTTTTCTCCAGGCTAAATATCTCCAATTCTACATACAGTTGATTCAATATATTTTTCTTCTGACGTTTTCCACCTCTGTTTTTTTTTTAATCCATAACATTTTTTTCATCATTTAAGAATTCTTTTTTGGTTTGTTTGAATGAATGAGCGAATGCATGAAAAGCATTTATTAAGAGCTTACTGTGTGCCAAGCATTATGCTGAGAGTTGGGGCTGCAAATACAAAAAGTGTCAGCCTCAACCCTCCATGAGCTCGCATTCAGATAAGAGAAGCTGTGGCCAAAGAGAGGTGATTGGGTCGGAGAAGTTACAGGGATGATGGAGGGAATCATAGAACAATTAAGGGATTGTTGCATTTGAGTTATTTTGAGTCATTTACATTTTTCTTGAGTATTTCTTATTCTTTTACTTCTTTGGGGGTATTTCGTTTCCATGTTTCACAGGCATTAGTTAAGCACTTAATAGTCAAGACACTTTGCCGGCCACTGAGGATCGAGAGAGAAAAATGAGAGCAACCCCTGCTCTCAAAGAGCTAACAGGCCACTGGAAGAACGTGCCCGGGTTAGTAAATGCAGTAATGTGGAAGAGGGAGAGAGCGTGACAGCCGAGAAAGGAAGAGTCTGGGGGTGGGCCGCGGCAGAACCGAGCCTCGAAGTAAGGGAAGGGTGCTGAGAAAGGTGGATTTGAGGAGCGTCAAGCTAGCGTGGAGGTGGGAGGTGGGAGGTAGGAGGTTGAGGCTGGCTTCCTTGGAAGCCAGAGTGCTTGGACGATGGCTTTGAATGAAGGCGGAGACTGCAGTTGGGCTGAGTTGGGCAGAGCCGGACCTCATGGGCTGGCTGAGGGGTCTGAAAGTTCTCTTGGCGGTCATGGGGAGCTCGCTCCTGAAGGTTCTGAGCAGGGCGTCTCTCTGTCGGGTTTGGCGATGGCGGAAGCGTCCTGTCCTTTACCCCTTTTCTCCTGGCACCTGCTTCTTCTCCCTTGGCTTCCGACCTTGCATTGTCATGATTGTCCCCCTCCCCCCCTCCCCGGCTGCTATGTTTGCTCCTCCACGTTCAGGTCTGGGCTCTATCCTCATTTCCCTGCCTGCGGTCTCCCTTCAACCCACGTCCACGACCATGGCTCCATAGTCATTCTATGCAGATGACTCCTAAATCCATGATCCTACTCCCAACCTCTCCCCACAGCTCCAGGTCCGGATTTTCAAGTGCCTGCCGGAGTCTAGAACCTGAAACTCAGCATGTCTAAAACTGAACGCTTCATCTTCCCATCCCAAACCTGCCTTCCCTCTAACGTCTATGTTCTCTGAGCAGCTGACTGGGGCAGGGAACAGATCATGGAACTTGGAATCAGGAAGGTCTGAGTTTAAATCCTGCTCTGGACACTTATTAATTATGTGATCCTGGGCAAGTCATTTAATCTCACCCAGCCTCAGTTTCCTCATCTGTAAAATGGGAAAAATAGTGGCACCCAACTCCCAGAGTTATGAGGATCAAGTGACTTCATACACATAAAATGCTTCTCAAAGAATAGGTAAGTTTAAAACTAATTTAACAGAAATAAAGGAAGTAATAAATAATTGGAAACCTATCCAATATTCATGGCTGGGTCAAGGTAATAGAGCCAAAGATGGCAGTGAGGTGTAAATTAATTCAAAGATTAAATGCGATACCAATAAAAAAAAAATCTAATGGACTAGCATATATTATGCAATATATAAATATTAGCTATTATAAGATCACCATCTTCCACACATTCAGGTTTGCAATCCTAGAGTCAAATTTGACTTTTCCTTCAGCTACCCCACCCTTCTCCTACCCAGTTGGTACAGGAATCCTGTCAGTTCTCCTAAGCTGTCAGTCTCTCTCGCTCTGTCCCCTCTTTTCCACCCTCACCAAGCCTATCTTGGTTGAGACACTTGTCTATCCTCACTTAGACTATTTGAATACCCTTCTAAGTGGTCTTCTTGACACTATTCTCTTCTTTTACTATCTACCCTTCATGAGCTTCCAAACGATTATTTCTAAGACAGAGGGATAGGGGTTTATACCACATTCATTCATTCAGTAAACATTTATTAAGCAACTACTAAATGGAGGTCACTGTGCTAAGGGCTAAGGATACAAAAAGAGGCAAAAGACAGCCCCTGTCCTCAGGGAGCTTACAATCTAATGGGGGAGGTAACATGTAAACAAATACATATAAAGCAAGCTATCTACAGGACAAATGGGAGATAATTAACAGAGGGAAAGTACTAGAGTTAAGAGGCACTGAGGAAGACTTCCCATAGAAGGTGGGATTTGAGTTGGGACTTGAAGTCAAGAAGATCAGTATTCAGAGTGGAGGAAGACAGCACTCCAGGCATGGATGACAGGGGGAGAAAATGCCGGTGCTGAGAGACATCATAAATTTGTGATTGTGGCACCCTGCAGCTTAACTTCAATCTCTATTTCTACCTTATGTCTTGCTGAACTTTCTTCTCTAAACTTTTATTTTGCATTTTTGGATTCCACCCTGAAATAGCAAATATTTTGATGTTCTTTACATGAAATTTACTGGTTCCATGGATCCAAGTTTTGAAAGAAACTAGACCAAACAAACCTAAGAGAAATACCGGCTGAGAGCAAAATAAAATAATAAATGGCACTCTAACTCACGCTGCATTAGTTGTCCTTCCATTCACTGCCATCAGATATATTATCACTGATGTTCTGCAAGTCTAACCTGAGCTGAGGAGCATTTTTGCCAGCCTGGGGGAGTGTTCACAAGATGATACCTTGTAAAAGCCTATCTGCAAGGTTGCCTGAAAAAAGGCTTCCGGACACCCCCCAAATCATTTTGACCAAGGACAATGAAAAGAGTCATTGTCTCTCAGGCACGGGCTTATTTCTTCCATGTTTCATGGTCTGTGACATACTGCTTTGGAAATTACTTTTTAAAAAGAAATGTTATCAATTTCATCTCTAGTCCATTTGGCCACATGCACATTTATGAGCCATATCTTCCCCCCCCACCTCCCCAACAGCATTCCTCCAGAACGGATGTTTCCTTTATGTATTTGTTCTGCTCCAAAAAGACAGAATATTTATGAAAAGCATCTGGAAAAATCAAGGCTAGTGAAAAGTATCCGTCCGATTTTTCTGCTGGCTTTGCTAGCACAATACCTAACGTCAGGCTATATTGCAAATGGCCATCACTTCCAAATTAATTTTGCTTTGTTTCTGTTGTAGGATTTTTGACATATTTTGTGCCATTGTGACAGGAAGCGATACCTGTGACCATAATGATAAAGGGGCTGCATTTGGTCTTGAAGCTCCACCCTAGGCCATGGATGACTTATTCCTATCTCTGCAGCCCTCTTTGTTCAACCTTTATGGATTAAGATCTTTACAACATCAGCCATGAGGATGAAATACAAAATGAAGGATGAAATTAAAGACATGCTTACAGAGAAACTTCGTTAATAGCTTTTGTTTTCTGCCTGACTTTAAATATGCCTTAAATATATTAACAGTCCAATAGTTTATTGATCAGAAAAGCTGGATTTTGAATGGAGAGCTCATGTTTGCCTTTAGATTATGAGGTGATTCATTTGATAACTGGCCAGGACACACTTGCATCCCAAGCTGACAAGGCTGAGTGCTGAAGGAGTGCAGAGACACAAGCATCAGGAAATCTGGCTTTGTTTCAGTGGCAAGACGCCCCAAGTTCACGTTTATGAATGTATAATACAGAGTTGCCCATGTTTTTAATCTTTTCTCCTCCAGCTTCTTACTCCTATCATAAATAGGAATCAAGTAACTTGCAGAGGGCAATTAGGGCTTTGGCTGAGGGCGTCAACATGGGGAGGAGGCTTCCTGGGAAGGAAGGGGGTCAGTTCTTCTTCCTTGTTGTGACTGGTATCCCTGGCTTCATTTTGCTGTCTACTGCTGACTGGCTCAGCCAGGTTGTGTGAATCCTGTGCCCTGCCCTTGTTAAACAGATCTCTCGTTGAACAAACTTTACTCACTGTTGCTTTGGTGCTCTGGAACTCGGTGGACACCACGGTGCACAGATCACCGAGTCTGAAATCAAGAAGATCTGAGTTCAAATCCAGCCTCAGATGCTTACTAGCTGGGTGACCCTGAACAAGTCGCTTAACCTCAGTCTGCCTCAGTTTCCTCTTTGTAAAATGGGGATAATACCAGCACCTACTTCCTAGGGTTGTTGTGAGAATCAGATGACAGAATAAAGCGCTTACCACAGTGCCTGGGACGTAGTAGGTGCTATCTAAATGTTAATTATTATTATTACCTCTTGGGGGCCACCTTTCTGCCTAGGTCTTTTAGCAGAAGCCCATCCCCTCTCCATGCATGCCTGCCCCTGCTGCCGGACTGTTCCTAATGTCACTGGCTCCCTCTCACTCTCTCCACACTCGGATCAATTCCCCTCAGGACCAATGGTTCCTTGTCATAGCTCTGAAGATGTCACCAAATGGAAGAAATGCTGTTGCTCTGATGTCTTCAACTGAGCAAACACTTGCTAAAGACTAGTTGGGATACACAGACTAAGAAGAACCGAGCCCTGCCCTCAGGGAGCTTATACTCTCTCTGGGGTGGGGTGGGAGATATCCCACGTAGGATATTAAATACAGACCATATACCAGATAACTTAGCAATTCAGACTTTTAGAAACTTATAGGTCAAGTGTAACAGACTCGGGGCTGAGTGCCAGCTCTGATGCTAGCTGTGTGTGACCTTGTCCAAGGTAGGCCCTCTCTGGGCCTGAGTTTTCTCCTCTGTAAAAGGGGCAGGTTGGTCTGATCAGGGATGGGGAACCTGTGGCCTCCAGGCCACAAGTGGCCCTCTAGGTCCTTGGGTGTGGCCTTTGGACTGAGCTCAAGTTTCACAGAACAAATCTTTTTATTAAGGGGATTTGTTCTGTGAAGTTTGGATTCAGTCAAAGGGCTGCACCCAAGGACCTAGAGGGCCTCAAGGCCACAGGTTCCCCACCCTTGGAAATGATCCCTAATTCCCCTTCCAGCTCTGGCAGCCTGTGATTGCATTCAGGGAAAGGTATCAGTCCAAGGCGAGGTGAGGTTGAAAAGAAGGGAGGAGGAGAATGGAGGAGGCTGCCCCACTGATGCTTGCAGGTGTTTTCATCCTGTGGTCTCCTTAGTGACTGCACCTTCCTGCTCCTCTTCCTCCCTCCCTTCTCTCTCACCCAAATCCCACATCTTTCAAACACTACGTGCGGAGGTGAGGGAAGCCTGAGCAGGGAGTGAAGAGGGTTGGACATCCTTGGGGAGGGGCAGAGTCTCATGAAGTCTTTGTTCTCCCCAAATAGCCCCGTGTGAACACTAGGATCAATGTAAAAACCATATGTTCTGTATTCAAATGTAAAATATTCATTCTTTCTTTCGACCAACATTAATTGTGTCCCTACTATGTGCAGGACACTCTATGAGGTATTAAGGAAGATACAAAGATGAGTCTTACATAGTCTCTTGTCCTCCACAAGCTTACCTCATTGAGGTAGATGCCAGTTATATCCCAAGGATGATTCAAATGAAACACCTTGGTAGCTCAGAGGTGAGAGAGAACTTTGAGGCTGGAGTGAAGAAAGGAGGCTGCCTGGAGGAGGTGATGTTGGAGCTGAGATATTGGGGAAGGCATTCCAGGTGCAGAGTGGGAAAGCATAAGACATGTTCAGTAGGTCGTCCAGCTTGGCCAGAACAGAAAGTACACGTGAGAAGATGGTCAGCCTTGAGAAGGTTTTGGAATGTTGGACTCCGTCTGTGTGACTCGTGATGCCACTGAGTATGTGCATATCAGGAGAGGTTCTCTATGGCTGTGTGAGCACCCCCACGGCAAGGCCTGGGACCTCCCTAGACTTGGCATCTCTTCCAGGCCAAGCACAGAGCCCTGCATGCAGCCGCTGCTTAGTAAAGACTTGTCACCACTTTTTCCCATGGGTTGAAAGGTTCTAACCTAGTGCTCGTGTCAAATGCAGACTCATCCAAGCATGGGGTAGGGACTCCCACCTAATTCAGGGGACCCAGGTTCTGCTGCTCTTTTTTTTCTTTCAAAGGAGCTAGGGTACTTTTGTCAGGACCCACTGGATACCCAGCGGGGAGGCAGCCTTCATTCCAGGGGAGGGATGTGTAATGATGGTAACATCAGCAGCAGAAGCTGGTATTGAGAACTGCTGTTTACACAGCCCTTTAAGGCTTGTAAAACCCTTTAGGTACATTATACATTAGGAACTCAGTAGTCCTACGGGGTCACCACTACAGGTATTATAACTTTTATTTTACAGAAAAAAAAAGAACTGAGCTTAGAGAGCTGGGGTGATCTGCCCAGGGCTGCCTAGCTAATGACTGACAGTGTCAAGTTTTGTATGTTGGTCTCATTGATTCCAGGTCCAACACCCTACTCACCATGCCACACAATATTGCACAGATTGAACATGTTTCATCAAAATTATTCACCTCCAAATCACCCTCAAAAAAACCTTTTAAAATCCCTGGGCAAACACTTCACAATATAGGAAGTGTTTTTTTTTTAAATTTAGACCATTGATCCACTCGGAATTTATGGTTGTACAAAGTGTGAGATATGGATTTAATCCCATTTTTGCCATGCTTCTGTTCCATTTTCCCAACAGAGGTTATCAACTAGCAGTTCCCTTACTGAAGGTTTTTTGATATTGGATTTGTCAAACTAGTCTATTCTCTGCCACTGGTTTTCATCTTGCATTTTTTCTTCCTGTTCCATTGATTTTTTTCCCTCTGTGTGTGTGTGTGTGTGTGTGTGTGTCTGTGTGTTTATCCAGTCCCACTAGTTTTTGATAATTATCACTTATAGTACGATCTCAGATCTGGCGGCAGTCCTTCACAACATAACGCCCCCAAAGATGCTGCCTAGAAAAGAAAAGATCTTGAAGTGATCTCCTCCTTCTGTCTTTCAGAATACTGTCACAGGTAACTTAAGGCATGTCCAATCTGAACTCATAAAGGACCGTGTAGAGTCAGGAAAGGAGGGTTTTTTTTTTCTCTCTCCCACTTTGAAATCTGCCAAGGTTTAGCATCCATTCATGCGAGCAACCCAGGTCTGCTCAGGCAGCCGGTCCCAACTCCCCTTAACTGTACTATCAACCAGCCCACCGCTTTTCATCTTGTCCACAAGGACAGCATGAAAGACTGTTAGATGCTTGGCTGGAACCCAGGCTACTATTTCTATGGCACCTCCTGGTTGACAGCTCTACTGAGTGCCTTGGAGGCACAAAATCAGAGACCACCATGGTCTAGTAGGAAGAGCGATGGAGCCAGAATCTTAGGGACTCTGTTAGAATTCTGACTCTGCTTTAAGAGCTGTGGGACCATGGGCAGGTCACATGACCTACCTGAGTCTCAGTTTCTCCATCTGTAGAGTAAGGCTAATAATTGCCGGAATAACTGCCCCCAGGGTTATTATGAGGTTCACGTGTCATCATGAAGGTAAAACGCTTTACAAACTTGAGCTGACACATAAGTAGCAGCCGTGATGATCACTTTTGTGGCTGTTGGGTCATTATTTATCCCTTACCTTTGGATAGAGGCTGCCTTCCCCAGTGTTTTGACATTTGGTCCTTCGCTCTGCTGGTATCCTGACTAGAGCTGTCTAGTTCTTTAAAAAACAAAACAAAACAAAAGCCCGACAAAAGCAAAACCTTGAACTAAGTGGGAATCCCCATCTCATGAGTGCTGGGGGTGAGTCACTGAGTCACTGCCTCAGTGCTGCCCACCCTGCTGGGAAATGGGGGAGAGGGGATACAATGGGTACAGAGTACAGAGGGACTACAGCAGCCAATACAGTGGGGTAGAGGTAGAGCCCAAGATGCCAAAAAGGAAATGGGTTTAATGCAGCAAGAACAAGTCCGTTCCATTGTAACCATGATGGCCATCATCATATGTGCCCAGCACATGGTAGGTGCTTAATAAATGTTTATTGACTTAATAAATGTTTATATAGGCATGAGCTGGGGACCAATGGATCACACAGGATTATTTTGGATCAAGGCCACACTTTTTTCTACCTGCAGAAACAAGAGCTCATTGGATTTTGCTATGAAGAGGGTACCTAAAAAAGCAATAAGTCTATGAGAACAGAAGCTCCTTGAAGGCAGGGATGTTTGATTTTGGTATGCTCATCCTCGGTACCAGGGCCTGGCACTTAGTAGGTGCTTCATAAATGATTGTTGACTGATGGAGAACAGGGATTGTTTCATTTTTGGCCTTATGTTCTCAGCAACAGAGCCTGGAACATCGCAGGTGTTTAAAAAATGTTTGCTAAGTTGAACATTGAATTGAATCCTGTCTGTGCCACTTGCTAGCTCTGTGCTCTTGACCTCTCTAAAAGGAGGGTGTTGGCGCAGATCTCAGATGCTTCAGCCTCCTAAGCCAGAAGCTCCAAGTTGATCCTTGGGCCACAAAATCCTCTCCAGCTCACAAAATGTCATTTGGAGCCAGGCATTGAATTAAGGAAACACTTTTAAGGCTACTCCAAGGTGAGGTTAAGGGTGATAAACTACCTCTAACGCCTGATACAGGCAGGAGCTGGGGACCGATAGATCACACAGGAAATCTAGCCCCAAAGCACGTAAAATTATCACTAAGACAAATGGATGGATGAAGCAATCTTCTGTGGAAACCAAAATGAGTGTCTGGGGAGGGTGAGGGATGGGGGCAAGCCAGTGAGGTACAAGTGAGGATGCAGCTAATTTGAATCATTTGCTGGCACAAAAGAGCAGATTCCGTCTGTCCCCTGCCCTTCCCAGCTCAGGCTAAGTGTAGATGGCCTAGGGGAGGGTCTAAAGTCATCCTGGATTTCCCTGGCATGTTGAGCATATGCAGATGCCCCTAACCAGTCACTACTCATGTCTTGAATGAAACCGGTTATTAAACTGATTTGTACCAGCTAGAGAAATGGACTTGGGGGGAGGGGGAGGGCTTAGGAGACCACGGTTCTAATTCTGGCTTTGGAGCTAACCAGCTCTATGCCTGTGGCAGAGGAAGGCACCAAGCCTGGGGGACTTTTGTTTCCTCATCTATAAAACAAGTGGGAGCAGACTGCTTGATCTCCGAGGGT